AAAGCTAACTTTTTTTCAGCTAGGTCTTCACTCACCTCAACGGTGATTAAAACCCTCGAAATGGCAGCCGCATTCACCTCTTCCACCCTAAAATTCACCGTAGAGTTTGACGATGTCCTTGAAACAAAAAAAAATTCATTTCATTTCTTGGGGCTGCATTCTTACACCATGAAAGCGTTTTTCAAACAGCAAAAAAAAAATAATATGTAGGGAAAAATGAGCCGTTTGTCAATGGCGTATATTCCTCGGCTGTAGAGAAAACACCCGTTTTTTCTCTTGATGTCTACACGTACTTCAAAGTTGCGGCTAAGTAGGGCTTCAAAGCCTGATACTTTAATATAGATTCTTGGGCCAAAAGTTGCTGTTGACGCTCGTTTTCCTGAAAAAGTTTTTGATTTTTGGAGATAATAATTACTTAAACTGCGCGAGATGAAAACACAAAGCAACAAAACTTTAGATGTCTACAATGAAATCTGTGGATATGGAAGAATATTGCATTCAGTGAAAGATTCCCGTGGTAATTATTACTGCTACAATGTCCTTAACGTGAGTTGGTTGTCTCTACTTTGTACGCATATGTTTAGGAAAAGATAGAAAAAGCAAAAGTCATCATTTACTCGACGTTGCCAAAATACCACTTTTGCAGACTTCGTTGCAAAACCACTCTGTTCAGTATGTTTCTGAAGAACTCTACCATTTTTTTATTCCCTCACTTTTTAAGTATGCCTTTCAAGAGCTCACCACCGTACATGTACAAATCCACTTAAAAAAGGAACAAACGCAGAGTTCAATCTTCCGCTGCGTACTCTTTTACTTTTCCGCTTGAGACGCCCGCCAGTTAATTTCCAAAGACATGTTTTACGTGTTTCCGTAAAATCATCAGTTTATATAGATGTCGCGGAAAATTACATACATGACGCAGCTTCACAAGGTGCACCAATTTTTTAAAATATAGCTTCATTCGTGGTGGCAAAAGCACCTGATAAACTATTTCGCTTGCACGCGTCAGAGATTTCAGGAGGAAGAGTCGAGAGCGTTCCTGGTCAGATCACTAACAGTGCGGGTTCGCTGAATTTTTTATGGCAGAAAATAAGTGAACATTTAATCGGATTCTGTAACTAAAGCTTGCGTAGGTAGAGAAGACTCCTGAACTGCTTTGAAAAAATTTTACCATTGTCTGCCAAACCATTTTCAATATCATCTACGTTCGATTAGACATTCTTAGGTGACCTAAAATTAAAAGGCAGCCGCTGCTTCATGCTATAACCTTACTTTTTCTTTCTGTATAGCAAGGAATTAATGAAGTTGGTAGCAGTTCAAAGGACGTGTGTCTTTCAATGACAACTTTTTCACTTTTAATGTACTTCATCACCACTTTTTTTAGAAAAGTATGCGAGTCTTCCATCGATTTCCAGCTTATACTGCCATACATCCTTTGAATGAAGCTGCTAATGAAGTAAATTTTTTAAATTATTAATTCACTTAATGTTGGCACCAACTGAACCAGTTAACATTAAAGATAGCTGTTAAAAGAGTAGCAGTTAAAAAGAAGTGGTTTGCTAACATGATGCAAAATGAGAGATTCGACTTCTTGTCCTTCAGACTTACAGAAAGCAAGGAAAAAGCTGTTACGAAATACCCATTACTAAAGAACTGGAAATTGCCGATGTAATTCTTATTAGCGGACTTTCTTACAAAGAAGGGATTGATGTTGTATTGCTTCGAGAAAAAGGAGGTGATGTTCTCTTGAACTTGACAGAATTCATGTAAGATCATACATCCTTCTCTGCAATATTCATGCAGCAGTTTGTTGCTGTTTTCACTACAGCCTCTTTCTGCGGGAGTTTTATGAAGGCTTCTGCCAAACCTACCACAGTAATCAGCAAAATTTAGAATAGTTGTGAGGTCTCAGCTTACAGGTGTTTGCGTTTGATGTGGCATCGTCCAAATGGTTACTTTATTACTAAGTATTTAATCTCACTTCACCCGTGTTCTTAAGTACCTTGGTTTTGTATATAGGTGTAATGATGCATTGAAAACGAATCTGGATACTGACTATGTTTGTCAGCGCAAATGAATATGAACAAAAGTGACAAAGTAATTGTCTTAACGAAACAAAAAAACCAAAACAGGAATGAAAAACTATGGTCTTATAGATTTAGGAACTATTAAAAATGAAGAAACATCAGTTTGGTCCTTGTCAAAGCA